CTTTATTGAGCATATAATTAAGCAAATAGCATTGTAAAGCAGGTGGAATTACATATATATTTTATACCCAAGTTATTATAGTTGATCAAAATCAAGTCTCTTTATTTACTACGAAACACGTTTGTGTATAGAGAAAAAGCTACAGGGATTGGAAGCAGAGTTTTAATTGTCTTACAAGTACAACATCAACCAATCAGAATAAAGAAAACAGTGGGATCTGAAGAAGGTCCACTTTTATCTCCTTGCCAGTAGGATCAGAGGTCATTTATCAGGGGGATGGAAGATTCAGCTTCCTCCAAAGTGCTGTACAGAAACTCAGCCTGGTGACTGGCTAGCACACTGTCTGGGGACAGCAAGAAAGATGGCCCTGCCTTTCCCATACAGTGTGTTGTGTTAGCATATTAACTCTAGGAGGGCTAGCTTGTGGCTATTGCAAAATAAGACTTGGGACATGGATGTGGAGGAGGAAAGTCTGAGGTGGAGAAGTGATTTCTGTCTTCTGTTTCTTGAAATATTTTTCTAGGCATGTACCAAATTAGCCATTGACATTAGCCTGTGGGGTTGAAAAGACAACAGTGGGTGCTTAGACCTTCCACACCTTTCTCTTTTCTGCCCACATCCTTTGTAAGAAGAAAGCTGGGGAAATTCTTCACTCTGCCAGGTATAGGACGTTTCTTTTCTGCTTCTCATGCAGTCTAGGTTCTTATAAGTTTCTGAAATCTTTTGTGATCTGTGTAGCAGAGATAGGCATAAAGTGGCTCTCCAAACTGAGGCTTTCATTCTTCTCCTTGCTTGGAAGCAGCCTATTGCTGTGCCTGAACCAGCAGGTGCCTGAGCAGCCACTGAGTTTGGTTTTGGCTCCCTCTTTTCCTTTTTGTTGATGAATCCCAATAACATGGCTGGCCACAAGACTCTGCAGACGCAGGAAGGAAGGGATGTGTTCTTTAATGAGTACAATGCACTTAAAATAGAACATGTGTGCTGAGCCTTTATTTTGGGGATTTTATTGTTGTGACCACCTCTCTTGGGAAATGCTACAGGAGGCTCTTCCCTTTTAGTGAAGCAAAGTAATTGTGTAACCCGAGGTGTCCAGAGAGAGCAGCGGGGATGATGTCAACACACAAGTTTGTGAAGCAGGGCTACATTTCCACGCTGAGTACTGCTTGAAGAGATTCCTCCTCCCCAAATGCCAATTTCTGTAAAATGGGGATGATCACGTGCACACTGTCCATCACACCAGGTTAAGCTGAGGATCAATCGATACAACGTACAAGGTGAGGTTTACAAATTAGAAAAGGCTAAAAATGCGAAATATCATGGTGAGTGACAATTGGAAGCCCTGAGCCTCTCTGAGTGGTGGGTGGGACCACTCCACTTTTGCATCAAAGAAATGTTACCCTCCTGTTAAAGTCCATACTTTCGTACTGACATGACACCGGATATGCAAAGCATTCAATATCCACACCAGAGAGTGGGCAATAAGTTTCGTTGAGTATAGCCTACTTTCCCACCTTCCTACCTGTGGTCAGGAAGTTGTCATGATACCTGAGAAACAAAACTGACCTGCTCCCAGGGGAGTTTCCATCCTCTTCTTTATCTGAAGCTGCATAGGAGTCCTCCTGCCCCAGTGTCTTTTCCTGTTGGTATCTGGGTAATTAGCATTGTGTTCAATGTCACTTTCATCTGTTTTTTGTTGTTGTTGGAAACCACCAATAAAGAATGCTTCTGATTTCATGGTTACCTACTTTTCCCTTTCATTAGCGTCCCTCATTTGGACCATTACTGCAGCACAGTAGCAGGGCGGATGACTTGCTCTGGAGATAATGTTAATGATTCTCCAGAGAGTCTTCTTTCTGAAGGTGATTAGGGAGAATGAAGAAGCTGTTAGCCACCTCAGATAGTATCAGTGGCTGTAAGGGACCCACATCCAGGCTCCTCTGCAACAGCCTTGCTTCACATTTCTGAAACTGTAGTTCATTACAACTCCTTTTCCACCAGAAAGCGCTTAGGTTGAACCCAGATTTACCAGGAAAAAAGGAGAAAGTGCTTCTAAGGGACCACCTTCAGAAGACACAGGTTCTGACCTCTGGAACATTTTTGGTTTGGGGCACCAAGAGAAAAAAGAATTTGTGTGTGCATCTGTACCTGCACCGATGGTCTGCAGAGGGGGATGGGAAATCCTCTGCAGCTCAGCTGCTGCTCTTGATTTGCTCAAATGTCATTTCCATTACTGGCAGGACATCTGCACGTGTTTCTACCCAGCCACATTTAATGCACATCAGTTCAGCCCTAACCCTCCATTGAGGTCAACCGCTCCCAACCTCGAGGCATCCCGGGGGATACACAATATTCTAAATGGAATATTGAAGATCCCCATCTGTCTGGTAGTCCCAATCAATAAATGTGAGCCCTTCTGTCCCACTTCTGTAGGAGAGGCATGTCACCACCTGGTTTTAAGACAAGTGTGGGATGGGGTTTCTAAGGGTTAGTGGCCCAAACACCCAGCTGTCACAAGGCTAAGCCAGGGAAAGGATTAGCTCTTAATCATGTTATTTCATTTCTACACAGCTCTTTTAAATTCCCTTTGTCCCTTTCCCTCTAGCCAAACATATCAGTGTCTGAAATTGAAGCTGCCTTTCTGACACTTTCACCTGCTGAATGACTTTGTTTTGAAAGAGCCTTTATTCAGACAGTAAAACTCAGGTGCTGAAGTTCTGAGCTTCTTGCTTGGCTTCTGCCAAACTGCAAGGCTGAGTTTACCTGGTATGGCACTTAAGGAAAGCAGTCAGGTCCAAGGTGTCACCTCTGGACCAATGAAACACCTACCCTGGCATCTGTATGGGGACAGCCACTCCTTAGGGATAGCAGTTTAAAGATACACTTCAGAAACCTCTAGTCTTGTTAACAAGCACCCAAGCAAGCAAACATAGCAATTAAAACTCTGGGTTGTCTGAGGAATTTTTTTCCCTGGCTAAGTCAGGGCATCCCTGGGGCTCCAGCTAAAATACTTGCTACACCTGTTCATCCGCTGTCACCTCCTCTCTAAACCAGCACAAGCTGACTACAACGGACGGACGCCATCAGATAAGTATCGGGTTGCACTGGAGAGATTGTTTACTTCAAACCCAGAGCCTCTGCCCACTCCTTGTCTTAGTGGAAGCTCTTCAGGGTGCTTAGCTGGGGAAGTGTGGGGACTGTGTGGAGGTCTTCTTTGAGGAAGGATAACTGAGACAAAGATGCCAGTGAGGGCATCAGGTCTTTCTAACAAGCATTGCTCTAACCATCTATATGAGTGGGGGTGAGAGATGATGGACTTGTCCTTTGCCCAGCTGTTCTCTGTCAGCTTTGAGATCATGAGCAAATCCTTCACTTGGCCTCATTCCCTCATTTTTTTTTTAAAAAAATGAAAGTCCTTGTCAGACCAGCTGTGGGCTATCCTCTCAGTTTTGTCCTAGGACATGTGGGGACAACTGGGCAGGACAAGCTTGTCAATCATATTAAGAAGGAAGTTTTTCTGCCTGGCCTTGGGGGGATAATTTCTGAGTGGCCTCAGCTTGCTTTCCTGCAGAACCCAGAACTGAACACAGGCTTTCTTTGTGTGCTGCTCATATCATTTACTTAGCAAATCATTTAGTGTTTCTGACTGCCAGCCTCTTTGTTTGGGCCCAGCCGTTTTCCACATTTCTGACAGGTAGTTTTTGAAAGTATGGGCACATGTACTGCTGCACATGCTCCAAGCAGGGAAGGGATCTAGTGCTCAGCAGCTAAAATTCCAGCACCAGAGAGGGAGTCAGGCCCTCCTGGTCAGTCCGGAAGCCCTGCCCAGACAGGTTCTCACATAGCCATGCTCAAAACCTGCCAAACAGCACACAAGCTGCCTTTGCATAAGCTACTCCCTTGTTCCCCCGGGCCAGCTGGCCAGAGAATGCCTCCTCTAAGAACCAACTCAAAAGTGGCCAGGGGACCCTAGGCTGTGGGGAACTGGTTTAGCACTCAGTACTTACCTTTGAATGGTGGTTACAGTGGCCGAGCTAATTTCTCTATGCAAATGAGGAGACAGGAAACAGTCAACTCTGCCTAACAGCACCTGGCACTATGGATGTCCTTCAAGAAACACAAGTAGTGCCTATGATCAAATTACATGATGTACTTGTTAAAAAAAAAGTCTTTGTGATACTCATTCACTATATGCAATGACTATATACCAATAAAAATTTATATTAAAAAAATACACATAATTGGAAGTGACTTAGGAAAAGATGACTAGGCCAGATCAAGACATCACTATAGGTGAGCTTTATATATACATACACACACACACACACATATATATATATATATGTATATATTTACTGAAGGTCAAAAGTAAAATACCTTAGCAAAAGACTTGTTTAAATAATTATTTTTAAAAACACCCCAGAGGAGAAAACCTGACCTAGGCATTTCATAATGCTATTCTGCAAAATGAAAAGCAAGTGCTGCCTCCCAATATAACTCCACCCGTCTTCTGAGTTACAAGATAGAAATGCTAACAAGGAGCAAAATCCGGCACCCTCCACCTTATTAATATGTAAAAAGGCTGAAGTCACATCTGTGCAAGGATCTATTTTTGGTGGACCCTACATACTAAAATCCTAACCTTGATCTCTTAAACTATCAAGCCTACCATAAATGTTTGATGATGAACAAGCCCATAAAAAGAAAATGCATAAAATGAATAGAGGGAGTCAATGCGTGTTCTGCCTTTTAATTACAGTGGCTTTTGCTAAAATCCTGCTCCAGGCTGGGTACAGGCAGAGAAAACACATCAATAAGTTGGGAGGAGGGAGGAGGGTGAGGATATTGCAAACACATGTCTAACTACATGGTTATTTATGCTGTGGAAAACAGACAGAGACGGAAGGGAATCATACCCTAAAAGGGCAGGGGGGCAGCAGAGTGGCTAATGGCTGAAAAAGGAAAATTGAAGAGATAAATAAAAGCATTCAGGACACAAAATATAATGTAGAACAGCCTGGTTTTATTACTCTGAAGTAATAAGAGCCTTTTCCTGGCTTTTTCTCTCTCTCCTTTTTCTTTCTTTTTTTTTTCTTTTTTACAACATACATTAAGTTGTGAATCAGATGTTAAGGTGTGTGGAGACGGAAGGAAAACTGGTGACATCACAACATTTTTACAACTTTACAACCAATATAAATCTGAGTTTGTTGCATCTACAGTGTCTAAGCAGGGTGAAAGCAAAGGCACACTCAGGTTTATGAACTCTCCCCATACATGGTGTAGGTAGGAAGGGGGGAACACTTAAATGCAGAAGACCAGCTCAATACATGTGGGTATTGTAGGGTTAATACTGCAAGTGATAGGTTGTGGGATGCAGGGATGTGGGTTTTGACATGGGTCTCCTTAACACAGCTGAGGCAATGATGCCCACAAACATGGGCACAAGGTTGGGTCAATATTCTTGGGAATCAAGCAGGGCAGACAATCATTACCTTCCCAACTTCTGCATTTGTGAAGAAAAGGCAAGGAAGAAAACAACATCTGTTTCTAGGAAAGTCTTCATGGTTTCAAGCTATAAAGGTCACAGGACATGAATAATGACTCCACTCAAAAGTGAAACAAAAACAATAACCTACCCCAAACAACAGCCAATCTGCATGGGAGTCTTGGAACAAAGGGCTGTGAACTTGTTCTCAGCGTCATATTCTGAGCTCAAGGTGACTGCTCTGATTGTGGGGACACAACTTTGAGACTAACCAATTCTGAATTGTCCTTGTCAGGTTTTTGTTTTTTGTTTGTTTTTTTTTTTTCTGAAAGTTTTTATTACTTTTTTTTTTAAAGACAAAATTAAATCCAGATCAAACTGGAAAAAAAAAAAGACAAAGAGACCATCAAATATACTGTTTATCTGACAATGCTCATGGTTTACAGTATGACAATTCTTTTGTTCATGATAGAGTAAACAAAAGCTCCTTCTGTGTGCTTTAGCAAATGAAAACCAAGGGGAGAAACCACCCCCTTCCCCCAGCCCTCTACAGACAATAAATGAATAAAGAAATAAAAAAAAAATCTTTTGCCCCAGACAACCTTTTTTTTTGTAGCATCATTGTGGATGGCCTTGAACTTTGAGTTACCCATTAATCACAGCAGGGACCAGCCTGCCTGCATGTATTTCCATGCCGTTTCTCTGTGCATTACATGGGTGTGCTAAAGGCATAGCTTAGAGATTCCTCCCAGTTGTCTGCCCAACTACACACTGCATGTTCTCCAGCCAGTGGATACAGCAGAAACCAGGGCTGGAACTTTAGTCCCTTTTCTGCTGCCTAATGAGGATGCCACCATATTGAAATGATCTGGGAATGAGGAAAGTAGGGAGCTCTGGAGGAAGGGGATTTGCCACCCACAACACTGGGGTCTGTGCTTTGCAGCACAGCCAAAAGGTGGCTGGAGTTGGCACAACTAAAGGCAGTGTGAATGGAAGGGTATGGTATCACCCAGCATTCCTAGGTTCAGCACACAATCATCACTTCTGAATTCTTCTTCCATCTGCTTGACTCCAATCTTCCAGAGGGCTGAGTAGGGGGTAGGAGTGGGGGTTAAATAAATATCTGCATTTATTTCAAGTGGGAAAAAAAGTTGATCAAACCGACAGTTTACAAGGTACACAACTCAGGGTGTAAGGCACAAATTTACATGTGGAAAACAGGCTATTCACAGATGTAACCCCACGAAAACCCGTGTGATCAAATCATTAATTTATGCAAGGTAGCAGCCAGCATATAAATTAACTCACACAGTTTGTGGATTTTGTTTGCTGTCTCACATGCAAGGTGAAATGAGGTGGGGTATCACAAGCTGGTGCCTCCGCAGGCGGTAGGAACCGCAGACAAAGCCATGTTTGCGGCAATGGGGCACAGCGTGCCATTCTAAATATCTCTCTCCTGTTGGAAGTTAGGATCTGGAAAGACTTTTAAACTAATTTTTTGCATGTTCTCAGAGATCTGACCGACAAATTAACTGGAAGATTTAAATAAATATTCCCTTTTTAGTGCTTTCCTTTAGCTACTGACCCGATAGTCCAAACACAAAGCTCAGAATTCCAGCTCCAACTTATTTACTCAGTGAATTTATTGTAAAAATAAAGAAACTCAATTATTCCAGTTAATGGATTTCACGTTAAATAGTTTAACCTTCCATGGGCTTCAGAAGAGCTGTTCATAGGATGATATTTGAAAGAGTCCTTTCCTTAAGGAAAAAGAAAACCAAACAAAAAAACGGGTGAACAATAAATAAAGAGTTACTTGCGTTAACGGTCACGTTATTTCATTAAAAGAGAGGAGGAGCAGAAATCTATGACATCATTGCCCAACATGGCATTTACCTGCTATAACAGAAAGCTGTAACACTGGTGGGCATTTCACAGTATCTGCGCATAGTAAACTTCTGCCATTGTTAAAGTCTGAGTTAGAATTATCAATGAAATTTTTTTTTGTCTTTTTCAATTTTCATGATTAAAAAAAAAAAAGTGTATTTTGAAGTTTGGAACGTTTGGCAACGTCCGGTGCAGTCATGGACAAAATGTTGAGGTTGTTGTTCACGTGTGTGTGCACACACACACTCGCGTGCGCGCACGTGGGTGGGTGTGGTGTATGCATGTCTATGCATGAGTGTTCATGTGGGGATGGGGTGAGGATGTGCTTTTGGCTCATGTTGGTGATGATACTGAAGTCTTTTGTGAGTCCGACCAGTGCAGGAGAATGAAGGGAATGGAGGTGACTGTTGCAATCTTCACCAAACCACATGGCCCGATTTTCGCGACTACCCCTGTGTCCTGGAGAGGAGGACCCAGCGTCCTCAGCTCCTTCAGGGCCATCTGGGTCGGTGGGATACTCCAGGCAGTTGAGCCCTTGCTGAGCTGGCTGGGCACCTAGCCTCACCTGCTGCTTCGCCTCCTGGGCCCCACCCCTGGGATTATGTACACGCATCATTGGGTTTCATGGATGTGGAAAGGGGCGCAAAGGAAGGTTTGGGGGGTACGTCTGGCTTTAGAGAAGGGGTGCGCTTCAGTCCCGATCTCGTGAGTGAGTTGTAGGAGTTGAGGCTGGGCTGCCTCGAAACAGTCACCGCCTGGCCCGAGGGCTGGGAACTGTGCACCTGGATGGAGTCCACCCGCTGGGGGGCGGGGGGCGGGTTATCTCCCCGGCCAAAGCTCTGGTTTCTGGAGAGGTGGGAGGAATTGGAGGAGTTAGTATTGTTTCTTTTGAGAGTGGTGGCCTGGTGGCTTCTCGTGAGCGAGTTCGTGGGGTAGCTTCTCTTATAGTCAAGCCCGTAGGAGGAGGAGTGGTGCATTTCCAGCCGCTTGCTCAGGCCGGTCTGTGACAGTGAGGCTCCTGGGGGGCCCAGGGAAGCCTCGCGCTGGGGGACTTTGGGGGGCAGGCTGTCCAGGTTCTCCACAAGGTTCACCCCATGGTTGGGACTCTTGCTGCTCAGATGCTCCTTGATGGTCTTATACTCCAAGGTGGCAGCTTGGTCCTCCAGCACCATCTGGGCCACCACCTCGCTCATTTTGGGCTGGTCCACGTACTCATGCTGGTAGCCCTGTTGCGTGATTGGCAGGACCACCACGCTGGGGATGTGGCTTGGGGAGGCCCGAAGGGGCAGGTCCGTGGGAATCACAGGGGAGCCCATGGGGGGCATGTCCTTGGTACAAGCGTTGATGAGGTTCTGGTTCCTCTCCCACTCGCGGCTGCCGCGACTGGGCTTGCGCTTCTGCTGCAGTGTCGGGGTGGACTCCGGGGTGGGCAGGGCAGTGAGGTCCAGGTGGTGCTGGTCAGCCTTGATGAGCATCTTGGCCGTGTTGCTGGGCGTGGCCAGCTTGCCATTGTGCATGAGTGGCGTGAGGATGGCCTCCGGCTTTGGGTCTTTGGATTGGGTGTCCCCAAAGAGGCCACTGAGCTTGGTGACGCTGCTCATGGATCCGCGGCGCGAGTGCGTGAGCTCCTTGTCCTTGCGCTGCACCACCGCCACGTCTTTGCGCCGGTGATCGCACACGCAGTACACAATGATGCCAGAGAAGACGGCCCCCATCACAAAAGCCAGAATGACGGCAATGGCCAGGAGGGTGACAGGAACGAGCTGGTCGTTGCCTTTGAGGTAACTTTCCCGAATCACTCCTGTAACAGACAGGGCACATCACGTAAGAAATGAAAAGCAGGCCGTGAGGCTTACTGCTGTTTGCCAATCACACTGTTAATTAATAACAGTAATAAGTGAGGATAGCACCTCTGCATAGCTTGTCTTGAGGGCGCAGCTTGCCAGACATTAACTAATGAATCCTTCCCACCGCCCCCACCCCAGCCAGCCTGGGAAATATGTAAATTGATTTTATTTGTCTATGGTTTGCACTGTCCAGTTCACAACTTTTCAACTTCATTCTATGAACTATAGCAGGGTCAGGCTTTCCTTTTGATCTTTCCAACCTTCTATAGAGTTAGGATAAACCAACTATTTTGAGTCTGGAGGAAAAGGCAACAATTTAAGGTATGTTAAATGAGCAAATCGCACAGCAATCCAAACTTCTACTCAGAGTCTTTCCTTATGACTGACTGCCTTGTGACATCAGAGTGCCTGGCTCAGTTTGGAGGAAGGCATGTTTGCATTTTTTTTTTTTTTTTTTCCTGGAGCTGAGGACCAAACCCAGGGCTTTGCACTTGCTAGGCAAGCACTCTACCACCAAGCTAAATCCCCAACCCCGGCATGTTTACTTTTGAAGAGGTTAGGAGGTGTGTGTCATTACAGTGAAAAATAACTGAAACAGATTACAATATTTACATTTATTTTGCATCCAAAGGGAAAGCCCACACTGAGTTTCAGGTAAATATGCAGAACCTTTATAAAAAGCTCTTTCTGGAACTGAAAGAATATTTAAATTGGGGCCCTGTAGTAGGTTTGAAAAGTGTCAGGGCCTATTATTGCTCTCAGGGCTTGCTGTCATCATGAGATTCTTCAGCGGAGCTAATCTCTTCAATTTAATAAAAATTATGTGACTATCCCCGTCTATTATCTTACACTACATTAATGGAGAACCTGTGTTTGTGAAGAAAGTTGCCTTCCTGGTCCTGCTTAATCAGCTACCAAGCTGAGTAGCTCTAATCAAATGCAAACACTGAAGCTTTTATTTTTTAATACCAAGTGAGAACACACAACCCAGTTGTCAGATCCTAAGTGCTTGATGCCAGCAGCTAAAAAAGTAAAATCTCAAATACCTCATCCCTGCCTCTGGAGAGTGAAAGAACATGAATACATTAGAGGCGCTGCATGGGCTGAGGAAATGTAAACATTGTTCCTCTTATGGAAAGATAGCAAGACAGAAAATGTACCTTGTCTGGTCTCTGGAGACACATTTTTCATCCACTAAATCAACTCTTTCTGGAATATGTTTAATGTATTTTACTGGCAAGTATAAGTGCCACAGAATTAGAATGAAATGAAATAAAAATCTCTACCCATTCCGAAACTCATACCACTCAGCCCTTATACTTTTGCTGATTTTTTTTCTTTTTTTTTTTTTTCAATGTCACAGCAGACCTGGAGGAAACACAGCTTTGTCATGGGTTTTTTTCTGACTAAAATATTTTGATTATTCAAGTGATGGCTTAAAAACCCAGGGGCTTTAGCCTGAAGCACACACTCACACTCTTTTCTCTCTCAAGGATCCTCCTCAATTGTGACATCACCTTTGCTTGCTTTGGTAAAGATTGTCCTCTGACAAAGAATTGTGACTTTGTGTGGGAATAAACAAAAGCAGCAAATATCTCTGGAGATATAAAATTCTGTGATCGAACAAAATGCCCTTGGTGATGAAGGGCCCAGTGCACTCTAAGGAATGTGTGGAAGATGATAAGCTATTGAATAATTTCCCAATGTGACATTTTTCAAGTATTTCCGGATTTATCTTCATGAGCTTTTTAGGGGTAGAAACTAGTAGTAATAATAATAATAATAATAATAATAATAATAATAACAATGATAATAAAAACCAACAGGGAAATATGGGTCAAACTCACACCTTCTATGTCTGGAGCATTCCCAAATGGTGTAGGGGGAGCCTTGTATTCAAATATGCTCAATACCTACTGACTGAAAGAAATGTGCTAATGAAAATTTCATCCTTAAGATTTGCATTTCCTTGTTGTCAGGATAAAATAGTAACTGATTTCCGTTCCATTTTAATTGTGCATGGGTTCTATTGAACATGTTTTTAACCACCTACACATAATTGCACAGAAGAGTACACCTGTGAATAAAATGGGTTTCATTTTTCTCATTGACTTGGTGATTTCCAAGGGACCTAACTGTGGCTAGACTCCCACCCATGGGGGTAGTAGGGTGAAAATTTTCACTGCAGCAAGTATATCTTAGAGCCCCTTTCGACACTCTTATTTAGTGAGGACTGTCTCCCCAATAAATGTTTAGTTATAAGAGGAAGCTGCCTACAATTGACTTTGGCCTTCTTGTTCAAACTTTTCTCTCAGTTTAGGAGGAACATAGGAAGAGTAGGGTGGAGGCTGAGCATTAAGACTACACATTATGAGGACTCCTATTTAGCTTCAACATCTTCTGGCGACTAACACAATAACCAAGGGCAGTGTTTTATTTCCTTACAGCAAGCTTGGTGATCAAGCTTAGGGATCTTACTCCCTTCGGCTTGTCCTTGTGTGTGTCAGGAAGTGTATACGACCCCAGGAAATAATGATCTTTGCTCTGAACACTTGCAAATCAGAATTCATCTCCTAACTAGAATATCCAAACTAGATGTGTTTCATTTGGCCACCCAGCTCCAACTGTGAGTGCCAACCAGTCTGTACTTACCCATCTCCTATACAAAGTAACCCCAAGTCAGCCCTATCCCTTGCCCGTTTAGAACAAGTTGGTCCTTCATCTTGAAATGAGCTTGCTCACGGTAATTAGGTTCTTCTTATCAGCACCTTGCCTGTTGACTCTGGTTTCCCTTGTGCAGTGACCAGAGTGAGACTTCAGTACAATAATAAGGCTAGAAATATATCATTTGCTTCATGCAAGAACAGAACTTTCACATTTACCCGTTGCTTCTTATCCTTAATTTTAGCTCCCAACTGGTCTTCTTTCATGTTCAAAGGCGTTTAGCTGTCTTAGACTCATGGAAACCACTTATGCTTTCACCAGCAAAGGCCTTTTTAGTGGATGACATTTGATTTCTGGCTTCTGGTTGTTAACAAGTCATTAGGATCTAACCTTTTGGGAAAATGGTGTCTCTGTTTTCTAATCTCCTTTTGCTACGTAAATAGTGCCCTTGAAAACCTTTCTGTGTCTTAGGTATGGAAGCAGGAGGCTTCCGTCATCTGCTCAGACAAATTCAGAAACCCCAAGGTTCAAGTTAGAAACTGATCGGAGATTTAAGTGGAAAGTGAAAATGGGAAGGTAAATGCTATTTTTGGAAATGTCTTCCAAATTTAGATTTCTGCTTATGTCACAAAAAACAAGAAAGGAGTAGTTGTGGTCAAATCAACTTTGTGACCTGGTCACAGTGAAGGATTCAACACAACAGCCTGTGTGAGAGGCCCAGTGAGGCTCATTCAAGCAGTGCTACAGAATACCTCAAAGGGTCTAGAGACTTGAACTCTCACTGGAGACCTTTTAGAGAGTGACTGTAACAGCACTCAACCTCAGTTTTCTCAGCTGTAGTGTGGGGAAGAGTTTAAATGTCACAGTTTGTAGGGCAGAGTTAAAGGTCAAAAGAATCCACAAAAGGTAAGTAGTGGGTAGGTTAGTGGCTCTTGGAGGGCTTCAGAATGTTAAATCACAGCTGCTCTGGCTGACTCTGCCAGTCAGTCATTTGCCCAGAGAGGTGGACAGACATGTCCATCTGATTCCTTATACCATCTTAATGTGGCCAAGGAGATGAGACCACTAGGAAACATAGGAGAATGTTTTTGTTTCAGGACAGCTTGCAGGTCCTGAACTCTGAAATAATTAAAACAAAACTGGAAAATATTGAGCATATCTCAGTTAGATTCCCAGGGGAGTAATAGTCCTGCATTCAGATCCTTGAAGCAGGAGCCACACTGTTTGCATTTGTCACCCTGGCCTTCCCCAGGACTCATGGAGCTTAGTAAGTAACTGTTGAATATATGGGTTTTCAGTACATTGTAAAGATGTCTTAAAATGTGCTTTTAAACCTGGTGAGTCATCTTTGGACTGACTATATAACCTTGGTTTGGAAGTCACAGAAAGGAATTATCCTCAATCTTATTACAGAATTTTGATAGCAATATCCATCAGACAAATAAAGAGAAATCTATAAAGGTACCCAGTATTTGCTCAAAACAATAAGAGGAGAAATGGTTTTATAAATGAAAAGAAATTGACTCTGGAATAATTCTAAAAGCGCCTATGAGGGTGAGTGGGCTATTTGTGACAACTGAGTGCTCCAGTGGAATTGAATAATTCGAAACAAATGCATCTCTGCAAAGGGCAAAGTGCCACAGGCTGGAGCTGGAATGAGCATCCATTGCTTCAGATGCTGCACGGAAGGCCGGGGATGTGGAAGGGCCTTTGTGGAGTGGTAGTCTCCTCTGTCCAGGTCTCCCCACACTGTAGGTGGGGAAAGAGCAGGGTTCTCCTTGGAGTGTGGACATACTTTCTGTCAGGTCCTGGGGCTGGTCTTTCACTAGTTGAAAATGGGGCATTAGGAATGAAAACAGTATCAGAAAGATGCTTTGTATTGACTCATTAACCACCAGCTATTTCTTACCAGTCACAAGGTGCTAAATGGCTCTTCTCTCTGCTTTATTGTAGGAAGCAAGGCACACAAAGACATAGAGATTTCTCTGAAATCATGCCTTAAATTGGCAGAACTGAGAGAGAATAGAATCTCTGTGCTTTTTTTTTTTTTCTTTTTTGAAGTGAGATTTTTCAGGCTGCTGGGAGGCCTCAGTGAAGCAGTTTGAAGCTCTTTAGAGGCCAAGGCAATGAAACGATTATGAATGATGCTGCCCTGAGGCCCTGAAACATATGATTCAAATCAAGAACAATTAAAAACTGTAAAATCAAAGAGTCCAACACAGTTCTCTATCTTCCTACAGTGACCTTGCAAATGAATTCTGAAGTGTTAGAAGTGAAATTCTTTGTTTAA